GCGGAGATCGTGCGTGTCGAGTGCGCGAAATGCAGGCGAGAGTGCGATTTGCCGGCTGTGCGCGCAACCCTCTGCGGAGATCGTGCGTGTCGAGCGCGCGAAAGCAATCTGTGGAGCTGGAAGCTGAGAACTGGCGACTTTGTAGTACAACTTTAGTGCGCAGAGTAGCTGGGGAGCTGGAAGCTGAGAACTGGCGACTTTCTAGTACAACTTTAGTACGCGGAGCAATCTGTGGAGCTGGGAGCTGAGAACTGGCGACTTTGTAGTACAACTTTAGTACGCAGAGTATCTGGAGAGCTGGAAGATGAGCACTGGCGACTTTGTAGTACAACTTTAGTACGCGGAGTAGCTGGGGAGCTGGAAGCTGAGAACTGGCGACTTTCTAGTACAACTTTAGTACGCGGAGAAATCTGTGGAGCTGGGAGCTGAGAACTGGCGGCTTTGTAGTACAACTTTAGTACGCGGAGTATCCGGGGAGCTGGAAGATGAGAACTGGCGACTTGGTAGTACAACTTGAGTACGCGGAGTATCTGGGGAGCTGGAAGCTGAGAACTGGCGACTTTCTAGTACAACTTTAGTGCGCGGAGCAATCTGTGGAGCTGGAAGCTGAGAACTGGCGACTTTGTAGTACAACTTTAGTACGCGGAGTAGCTGTGGAGCTGGAAGCTGAGAACGGGTGACTTGGTAGTGCAACTTTAGTACGCGGAGCAATCTGTGGAGCTGGAAGCTGAGAACTGAGAACTGGCGACTTTGTAGTACAACTTTAGTACGCGGAGTAGCTGGGGAGCTGGAAGATGAGAACTGGCGACTTGGTAGTACAACTTTAGTACGCGGAGTAGCTGGGCGGTGGGAAGATGAGAACTGGCGACTTGGTAGTACAACTTGAGTACGCGGAGTATCTCGGGAGCTGGAAGATGAGCACTGGCGACTTTGTAGTACAACTGTAGTACGCGGAGTAGCTGGGGAGCTGGAAGATGAGAACTGGCGACTTGGTAGTACAACTTTAGTACGCGGAGTATCTGGGGAGTGGGAAGATGAGAACTGGTGACTTGGTAGTACAACATTAGTACGCGGAGTATCCGGGGAGCTGGAAGATGAGAACTGGCGACTTGGTAGTACAACATTAGTACGCGGAGTATCTGGGGAGCTGGAAGATGAGAACTGGCGACTTGGTAGTAGAACTTTAGTACGCGGAGCAATCTGTGGAGCTGGAAGATGAGAACTGGCGACTTTGTAGTACAACTTTACTACGCGGAGGTGACTTTCGAGAGGTGAAGAACTTGCAGAAAACAGGTGTTCCTGCGCTTCAGAAAGACATACAGAGAGAGACACATACACACACAGACATAGATACACACACACAGAGACCCACACACTGCCTCAACACACTCGACTTAACACTTCACACTGAACACTTTCCAGGCTCCCTGGAACCTCACCGTCCTGGTGGTGACCTTGAAGTGGGTCCTTATAACACACTTAACAGATAACTCGCACTCTGACTTCCTACGTGATGAAAAATGCTTTCGGGCCACTCGTCGTCTAGTTTTTTCATTTTTCACCTCTGTAGGAGCGCTTTGGCTTGTGCTGGTCCAGACCCCGTGGCCTGCGAGACTCAGCGCTTCGACCCCGACTGCTCTGCGCGTGCAGCGCGCCGTGACGACGCCTCGAGCTGGGAGGAGGCACAGTGCAGCACCTGCCGCAATGCTGGCAAAGCCCTGCTGGTGCCGATCCTCATCTCTACAGTGCCTCGAAACTAAAAAAGACGGTTGAAACTGTCTCACTTTCGTTCACGGGACATTTTGTTATCCTTTTTGAGTTTGTGTGACCTACCAATTTCAGATTTTTCCATTCACTGTCACTGCGAAACTGCCCGTGACAAAAAACATGGTCTTGAATCTTGGTAGAGTTTCGTTTAAGTCCAGATACTTAACACCCAAGGCGACCCACCTGAAGGTCATGCAGGGCGTCGGTGTGAGCACTTCGGCCTAGCCAATTCTCTCTTTGCCGTTGACTATTTTTGAGCGATCTTTGCTTCTGGTGCTTTTCGTGGGTGAGTTGTGTCTGACATTGACTTGCTGGGCTTCCACATCACTATCCAAAGAATTGCAAAGGTATTTTTTGTGGCTCCTAAGGCATATGCGATAAGTAGAGCCTTGATCACTTGGGAAATGCCCCGAAACGCCAAAACCGACCCGCCAAAGCCGAACCTGAAGCCCATCACTTGCACAATTTGACAAGAACTCAGAGGACCGACTTCCTCGCCGCAAAGGAACAAGTGCCTTACTAGTAGTAACAAGAAGCTAGTAGAAACAAGTGCCTTACTACTAGTAACAATAAGAATTTAACTAGCAAAGAAGCCAATTTGAGAACTCAGAGGACCGACTTCCTCGCCGCAAGATACAGTCTGCGCCAAGTAACCCGCGATAAGGACTGAGCGGAAAGGACTCCGCCATCAACAAAGTGATGGTCTTCTTTGCAGGAATCCTCGGGTCAATTGCGACACTTGCCTCAGCTGGGAGGCCATCGCTACTAGGGTGGAGGTCTGGAGGCCATCGCTACTAGGGTGGAGGCCATCGCTATTAGGGTGGAGGCCATCGCTATTAGAGACAAAGACAAGGAAGAAATGTCTTATTGCTTTGGCTTCGCGGCTTGGCGTGAAGAATTTCACACGGTTGTTTTTGTGCCCAGCAGCAATGGCACGACACACCGTTGCTCTTAAGGTTGTTCTTTCTCTTATGGATCTTTTTCCTTCAAAGTGCGCGAAGCTTGACCCCACCATCCCGTTCCTCCCACCTTTCGACTTTGTTCGAAGGTCAAACTGTTGTCAGTTTACACCCCTCAAAGTATGAAGAGAAGAGAAGAGGAGAGGAGAGCAGAGCAGAGGAGAGGAGAGAAGAGGAGAGAAGAAGAGACAAGAGAAGAGACAAGAGAAGAGACGAGAGGAGAGGAGAGAGAAGGAGAGGAGAGAGAGAAAGAGAGAGAGAGAGAGATAGACCGCGATTTTGGCAATTGGAAATCATCTCAGTAATGTTCAATGTCCGGCTATTCAAGTGCGCTCTATTCCGTCTTCTCCAAGGAATCTGGGGCTAATTGCCACGTATTATGGGACTTGCATCCGTACTCTTCTGAGAGCAGAAGTCTTCTTGCAGCCCATGATGGGACCAGGCGGAAGGACAAGGGGGAAGATATGCAGGATTCTCGGAGGGCCTTGCAAGATGCCCTTAGTTTTTTTAGCTCGCTCGCTCCCCCTCCCTACTTAATTAAGTAGGCACCTACTGAATTAAGTAAGGGAGAGGTAGCTACCCCCTGCAAGTAGCTACTACTTAGGACGCAGGATAGCTCACGCTTCTTCAAGGAAGCTTCCTTGAAGAAGCGCTCGCACTAATGATTTGGTTCCTATATTTTTAGGGAAACTTAACTAGTAGCTTGTAGCTACTAGTAGTAATGCTGAGAATTCTGAGACACCTTTCTCTCTTTTCTGGAGACACCTTTCGAGCCTTTCAACTTGAACTCGACTGAGAGACCTGAAAGGGAGCACGTACTCGGTTTTGAAGTGAAGAACATGAGATAACATTTTGTCGACTATCTTCTAAGTGTACTAACAACTCGTTTACCGAAGTAGGAAGTGTCTTGAACCTCGTTAGATAGCCAGACTTTCACTTTGCGTTGTGAGGTGCCAAACCTTGCTCTCTGTTTCAAGCATGATGAGCTCAAGAGTCAAACCACTAAGACTCCTGCCCAGAAAATCATGCACTGTGTGACTTTAGAGAGGGAAGGAACTGGTGGCCGCATAATTTGCACAGCAAGAACCAGAACTCTTAGCCGAAACTGCCCGACCAGGCTTCACATGCGTTCTCTTAGCGACTATTTTTAAGTTGTGACGCGGCTGCATGGAAGGAAGGGTGGACGACCTGGAATAAGTGAAATGTTTTGCACGGCAGAGAGCATGTTTGGGGTCAGTGTGGGAGATAGGTTCACGCGCAGGAGTCACAGCGATAAAATCACAAGTTCGCAAGGGCTTCAGCCAAACATGTTTTGGGAAGCGAATACGACTTGGGGCCTTATCAAAGCCGGTTTTGGATCAACTGTGCTCCAAAACAAGCCACGCCAGTTGCAACACCTTTGTCAAGAACAGCTTCTGAAATAACGTAGTGTAGGAAACAGTGGCGATGCAAGCTGAATGTAGAAGAATAGCAAATTAATATTCATATTCATGAATACAGACTGATAAATTTTACATTTAAACTGCATTCATGGCTTTGGCTTTTCACTTCGTCGTGAGGAGCGCAGCGTTGCTGCAGTTGGGGCTTCCGCTGGAGGTGGGGGAAGGGGCTTTGGGGCAGAGCCGGACAGAGTGCAGTACCTACGGTGGAAGTGCTATCTACTGTATATTGTTACCATATCCCAACAGCCTACAGATCATATTGACTTGTGGTATCTTGTGGAATGATTTCGGAGCGAACAAGTTGCAGTTTGCTACTTGGGACTGATCGAAGTTTGCAGGTGCCTCCGACAGATGAGGAGAGCTCAGAACCCTAGCGAAAGCGCAGCTCTGAGCGGACCCTCGCAGAGCAAAAAATACGAAGAACACAGAAGCAACTTGAGCGCACATCAGAAATGCTCAAGACATGTTCTGACATCGTCTGCAGGGTCTTTGTGCCCACAGTCCCAAATTTCTTGCTTTTAAACCCAAATAGCTGATTGGTGTTGTTTCTTCTTGTCATGTGTGGATGTCGGCAAGTGCCGTGTTGGGGCGTGCGGCTTCGACCTGCTGGAAGCAAAGCTTGTTCATGTCACTAGCAGCCACAGATGTAAAGAGATCCGCGTCCTTTGCCCGACAAAGTGTGTTGTGAACACTGGTGACAGGGTGAAAGCGTTAGCTTGGGCGCCGGTGCACGTTTGGCTCGCTCACCTGAAGCTGTGAAGATGGGCGAGATCGTCGCAAAAAGAGATCCGTTCGACGCTTCAAGCCTTCTGGGTTCTTGGACCACTTGAGCGGTGTTGATATATAAGCAAGGCACCAAGGCTCATTCAGACTGGGTTCGAAAGACCGTCATTCGCAAGCTTCTTCTCTAGTTTTCGAAAGTCGGCGCTGCTTGCAAAGTGCTGCCAGGCTGCGATGTCTTCATGAACCAAGGCATCGAGGGCGGCATCGTGGTAGGAAGCATTGGCCAGGGTGCTCAGAGGGAAGGACAGGAAGGACGCAAACACACACCGACGTCACTGACTATTGATTCGAGCAAGACATTGACAGGCTAACTCTCAAGACTTAACATCAATTCCTCAAGACAAGATTTGAAGACAAGCTTGTGTGTATTTTATTGGATGGGTAAGACACAGCCGCAAACTGCAAACCTTGCCCAGTGAGCTTCACCATTGAGCTGGACAAGAACGGGAGACCGCAGGTGACGTGACGTCTTGGGAAAATCCAGGTTGTGAATGAAGTCAGTGTTTTCCAAATTTTCCATGTCCACAAATCATCAAACTCGCAATCATTTTCCAAGCTGCCAAGTCTTACTCAGCTTTCCCACGGAGAGGCGCGAGAAGCCAGACTGGAGGTGCAGAAGGGGGGCCGCCAGGGCGGCTGGGGCAGCCTTTGCCAAAGCATTGAGTGGATGTGGAGTGAACATGCGAAACTCAGTGAAAAGGCAAAAAGAGGACGATTTGTGGAGTGACTGTTTCTGAGGCGGACAAAGAGAACGAGGACGATCAAGGCTGGGCGGGTGGGTCAGTCGGAGCAATCTCTATCCAACCTAGAAGTGATGGCCTCCAACCTACAGCGGATTTCCGATGTGAAGCCTTCATTCTTTCAGGCGCATGCTGCCGCATGCTTGTTAACAGCAGAGTTTGCGGTTTAGATCTTGATTTCTTTTGCCGCTTTGCCTGGGATTCTCCGCTTTACACCACGAGAGCAATAAGTTGGTCAATTCTCCAAGTTCGGGTACTTGCCTGATGCTCACCTCTCCTAACTTCATCAACCTAGTTGTTTTCAGGTGGGATTATTCGCTTGGATTGAAGAACCAAGTGCCGATTGAACAGGACAAAACACTTGGCGTGTAAGAATCTCCATCCAGAACTGTCCAGATTCACTTTTGAACGCTTTCGGGCTTGACATACTTTGATGATATGCTCGTTTCTGAATCTTGCTTCCATTCCCTTTCATTGCTCTTTTTTGTAGGTCGAAAGAGCTTCTGAAACTTGCTTGGTTTGTTTGATTGGAGTAAACCGACATTGATGGAATGGCTACGCAGCTTTGATGTAGCTACGGCGTGCCGCTTGGGAAGATTTGCGCATTACATATATTGTTTTGTCTTGGGGCCATGGTGATTCGGCGTGGACATCATAATGTAGCTTTAGACCTTTTATTTTGAATCATTTTGTCGGTTCTGTCTTTCCTCCTGTGAACATCCTGTGTTTTTTCCTTTCCGCTTTCCGCTTCACTTCCCTTTGCCCAGGTGATCATCGACTTGGCCTCAGTGGGGTGTTGTTTTGCGGGGTTGTCCGGGTGTGCTGCGTACTGTGCTTGTTGGCTTGTACCTGAAAGAGGCCTTGAAGAGGTAAAGATAGGAATTATATACAAAAGTTGTTTGGCCCAAACATTGCAGAGGTGATTTTGTCAATGTCTATCTTGCACACGCAGTCTTGGCATTCTTTGAGGTTACGTTCTTCCATGCGTCTCGTTGTCCTTGCACTTTTGACACATCGGGATTGAACAATCACTATTGAGTTGACTGCGCTGACAACCCTCCATTGTGACCTCGTGCATGACCCGGTTTCTTACACGAACCATCACGAACCCTTCGTGGATGGTGTTTGATATCGCCGCTAAGTGCAGGGTGAAACACCATCGACACGAGATTGACCAACTCCAAAAAACCGGTTCGACGGCTTCAACCTGTCCGAAGGTCTTCGGATTGGCGATGCCTTGGGCAAGGCCGTCCCCGCTTGACACGGAAGGTCTCAAATAGTTCGTTCCCAAAAGGCACAGTGAAAGAGCTACTAAGTAGTAGGAGCCCCTAGTAGCTTCTTGCTCCTAGTAGCGTCCTTGAAAGAATGATAAAGAATGCTTAGGTGCTATGTTTAGCTTCCTATGTTTTCTCGTTTGTTCGATGTCGAGGTCTTCAAGGGCACCGTGAAGAGCTTCAACGTTTCCCGGGGCTTCGGCTTTTTGACAGCTCCAGAGCTTCAGCGTTTGTCGGAGCCCCGATGGAGAAACTGACAGCCGCATGTAGGTTGTGAGTGGGGAGCCACATGAAGAAACTCAATTTGCTCTTTGTTTTTTTCGACTGGCAAACAACGTTCCTGATTTATTGTTTTGAGGCGGCTGATTTGATCTCAGTTGCCTCTGTATGCCCAAAGCTCCCGTCGCATAAATTTCTTCGCACAGGTTTCCGGGCAAAGATGTCTATGTGGCACAGACGCAGGTGAGCAGGAGATGACTGCAGTGCAGTGTAGGTGACAGCGAATCGATCCGAAGATCCCATACATTCGCAGACATTTTGCAGTGCAGGTTCCAGATAACCGACCGCTGACCAGTGGGCGCTGTGCTCAGACACATCGTATGCTGACACGTTTCCGTCGGTGTGGGCGCCGAGGTTTGAGGTGGAATTTACTCTACACGTCACCCAGCAGGGGTCTGGAGCTTGAAACCCGCTGTGGATTCAACGAACAGTCTTGTGTGGGAATGGAATGGAATGAACTTGTACTCCGGGGGACACCTGTTGATGGACTTAAGAAAGTACAATTGTCATTTGCTGGCATTCTCAGTCGATGTGAACCATGTTATTTTGGGGTCGTCAACTGTGCCAGCAACCTTGTTCTGATGACCCTGCCATAGCTCGTTCTCTGGCAGCTGACCAATGTCAGATTGTCCATCTCAACATTGTATCAGCTGGTCAGTAATGCCAAGACAGGAGTTTGCTCCTGGCTCTGCCTCAAGCTACATTCCTCCTTCACTGCAGTCCTCACCTTTCGATTCTTGCTGAGGCAGCCACAGGCCAAGGATTTGAAGTTAATGAACACGTCTCCCGAGCTCGATTGTGTGGCACCCAGTCTTGTGTTTGACTCTGTCATTTGTTAAAGGCTTTTGCTTGATCAATCAGTTGATCTTCCAATAGGATGGGGAGATCTCCAGCAAACAGACATGTCCGATGACGGTTGCTCCGAAGCCTCCCATGACACCAAAGACTAAAGCTACTTCATGCTACTTCGAGGTCAGAATGATCAGCGAGATTGCTCCTAGTAGCGATGCGATGCCCTTTGTTCCTAGTAGTGTGGTTTGTTCCTAATAGCGATGCCAGGAGCTACGACTGGTAGTAATGGCCTCCACCTAGTAGCTTCTTGTTACTAGTAGCGATGCCAGGAGCCCCTAGTAGCGATGCCCTTTACTCCTAGTAGCTTCTAGCGGCCTCCATCAGTAGCGTCCGAACGCTTGATCTCCGAGACCTTGGTGAGCCACCAACTGCTGAGAGTGTCGGCCACAAACTCCTTTCGATGCTGTCGTGAAGTGGATCAGGATCTGGGCTGCGCTTTCTTGACAAAGAAGTGAAGAAAGATCACGAAATAACACAATGACAAGTGTTGAGAGTGAAGTTGAGTGACAGGGAGCAAGGAAAAGAACGGAAATGAAAGCGCATGCTCCTTTAGGATCATAAAGGGTCTAAGTGCACCAAGAGACAGTGTTGAAAGACCATGCCAAAGAATGTGTGAGCCTAACATCAGAAAGTTATCTCTGAAACAGATGTTCGAGGAGAGATTGTGGTGTTTGTTCTCTTTCATATTTCAATCCCAAGATATCGTCTCTGACTACCGAGAGCAGGTTCCAGGTCTTGATCCGAAGATAATGAACATGCGGGCCTATGGACTTGGGATATCTAACGAGGTCTGAGTATCTGCCGCTAGTGCTATCGCTTGTAGGTTGGAGGCCATTCTCAGGTTGCTTTTGCTAGTGGAGGCCGCAACTCCGTAGATCGGACGCCACGTGCCTGGACCTTCACAAGCGCAGTCGCCCTTGAGCCAATCGGCAGAGTCAACTGAGTCAACGGGACACTTTGTGACTCTGAACCGAGGAACTTGTCAGCTCACTTAGGGACTGCTGGGCTTTTGTATTTTCTAGAAGTTATGTGGGTTACAGCGGATGGCAGCAATTGTTTCCCATTGAATGTTGGCTGAGAGTAGTCACAATCCACCAAAGGACGCGTGATGTTTGGGCGAGAGAAGGTCCAGCGAGAAGCAAGAGGCTGTCCTTGTATACAGAAGCCCTGCTGGATAAAGTATGCCCATTCTGTGGAGGGTCTGCGTCATGCCTGTTGGGAGACCAGTGTGGGGTAGCAATTCTTTGATTTATCTATCAGCAGCCTTCTGTCTCAACATTGGGAGCCCTGAGCCGGAACATCTAGAAACATTCTTGGCGACTTACTAGTAGCGTCCTTGCTCCTAGTAGCGATGCCAGGAGTGCTAGTAGCTTCTTGGTCATGGCCAGGAGCCCCTAGTAGCAGAATATATCAAAAGCATTCTGCTTTCAGGAATGCCAATGGTGATTTGGAGTGTCCCTAACAGGCTCCACAGTGGAATGGGCAAGAGTCCAGCGACAGTTGCGGGCGTAATAGCTTTGAAATTTGCCGAGAAAGTGCGAACATTCACAGATTGATTTCGATTATGTAGTCTGAATATCCCCGAGCTAGAGCAGCTAGAGACCTTGTTTTGCAGGCGACCGCGCAGCTTCTTTTTGGAGGATAACGGTACAAAACAGGTTAACAGGTGGCGTTGTTTTGTTCCCAACAGTACACTTGCGCGCCCTTCTGACCTCAGCATTTTGAAACAGCTCGTTGCAAGTTAATCTTCGTGCCTCTGTGATATCAGTTCAGTCTGAAGGAGGCATTCCCATAGGATCAGTCTTCTAACTGAACAGGTGACCACTGCAGTGAACCTTGGTGGCTTGCTCTGTCTAGTCTTTGAGTTTGCCCACGTGAATAGATTGTGAGCACTGTGAATGGCAATAGGCAATGTCCAAGTTGGTCAGTGAAACGCACAGATCTCACTGCCAACTGAAGGGTCAAAGACCCCGGGAAGAACAACGAAAGGACGAAAGGGTTCTTGAAAGTCTGCCACACCAAAGTTCCTGTGGTACACAAACTTAGTAGCGTCCTTGCTCCTAGTAGCGATGCCCTTTGTTCCTAATAGCTTCTTGCTCCTAGTAGTAAGGCCATGAACCCCTAGTCGCGTCCTTTGCTCCAAGGGAACCAAAAAAAATGTCCGCTATCCTGTGTCCAGTAGCCAGGAGCTAACTTAGCCCTTACTTAATTGTGTGGATGCCTACCTAATCAAGTAGTAGGCAGAGCGGGGTTTAAAAAAGGACGTAGTTCGATTCCATAGCTAGCAGGTTGGAGGCCATCGCTTTTAGACACAAAAAAAGTCGAAAAGGAAGAACGTCTAATAGCAAACTTCTTTGACTCACCAAGTCAGCACAAGTAATATCCGGTTTTGCCTGAGCCATAGGCCTTCGATGAAATCTAGGCACCTAGTAGCTTCTTTAGTAGCAAGAATGCAAGAATGCCACTAGTAGCGATGCCCTTGTTACTAGTAGCTTCTTGTTCCTAGTAGTCAGCTTGAAGATGTTTCCAAACTAAATGGCAGAATTTTGGACAGCTCGATCTAGTTATGAGGGGATGTCATTTCCAAGAAGGCCTGGAGGTTTTGACCCACTAGGATGCCCCTGAAAAAAGAGGGGACACGAGTGGCCACGCTGGATCGTCGCGGAGACGTGTGATTCGGCAGAAAAAGAGATGCCCAGTTGCTTTTCGAACCAAAAACTATCCAACACAATCCAACACATGTGAGCAGCGCTTTTGCACGCTAGGGCCCGCTAGGGGTTAAGCCGTGGGGCTGGGACTAGCTATCTTAGGCTAGGGCAACACCCCGTAGGCTATCTTGCACGGGCTCGGGCTCAGCGACAGCGAAGGGTTCCAGCCGTGCGCGTGACGTCGCTTTGTTCGCCGTCCACAAATTGTTTGATTGTGCAGTGACAGGGGAAGGTCTTGGAGGTGGATGGTGCGTGAAGTGGCAGATTCCTGGGAAATAGCAGAAGCGTAACATGCTGAAGCAGCGTTTTGTGCGCTCTTCAGTTTCAGTTTCCTTCGCTGTGACAGTGGGATTTTCATTTCAGGCTGCTGCTTCGAAGCTTTGCTTCCGTGACAAGTTCCAGCTAACATTGTGATTTGTCTTTCGGTTGTGATTGTGCTCAGAGAGTGCCGAAGCCAGTCCAAACGTGTGATGTTGTGCAAATTTAATTGAAGACACGAAAATGCCATGTGGTCACTTTTCGTGGCAGGTGCAGGGAAAGGTGAGGTTGTGGAGGAGAGTGTCGCTGTGCCATTGGGGTTGGTGTGCTGGCAGCTATGGCTTTGAGGGGCTGGGACTGGAGGACTGGCTGAGACTTCCCATTTCCTTTCCATTTCACTCTTGAAGGAAGTCTTGTACGAAACGCTCGTTTTGAAGACTTTGATGCGTAACTTTTGGACGGAGTCTCATGCAAAGCGCTTGTTTTGGAGACTTGACACGCGTGTTTTGGAAGAAGCAACAGTTTCCCACAAGAGTGTCCCAAAAGAGTTGCTCAGTGTCCTACAAGAGTGACCCACAAGAGTGCCTTGCTGTCCCAAAGAGTGTGAACAATGTTTGGCCGTTGTTTTCGAGCGCGTGTGTGCATTCGGGTCCGTGACAAGAATCGTTAACAACAAATTCTTGAACGCTCAGTGGTGAAGAAAGGTCGAAGTGTAGCTGAAGCGTTCAATTTATTGCGTGTCGCCGTCCACAATCCTTGAAGCAGATCAGCAATGTCAAACACAAGAAAGTTGATTCGACAACGTGCAAAGCTTCAGAACTCAATGCATGTTTCACTCTATTATTTCATTTCATAGTCGTCAACATCAAAACTGACGCAGACAAAAGCACCTGACGAGCGGATTGATGGACGAGTGTCATGGTTCGAGCCGTGAAAATAGTGATTTGGTTTCCCGTGTGACACTGAGAGAGGGAGGCCAGTGCTGTCAACTGGCATGTACAACTTTGATGCAGTCCTTCCGTGTTTCGTCCCTCTTCTCCTCAGAGTGAAAAGTGCTTCACCTTTTGAAGGTAGAAGTTGAGTTGGTGGACATGTGTTGCCGAAGAATGCAACAAACGACGATTCGAAAAATCTGTCTATCTCAGGTCCTGGCCATCGCTGACCTCGGGGAGATGGCGGACTCGTGCGTCATTTCAGAGAAACAGAAGCAGAAACTGTGAGAGATCGAATGCCTAAAGATTCTCTGCGAATCTCTGCGAGTTGGCTGGAGTGTGCCAGCGTGGTTCCCATAATCCCTGAACCTGTGAATCACGTCCTTTTGCCAAACGTCTTACGAGAGATCAGCCTCAGCCCCTCACAAAGACGAGCAAGAGATGCAACTTCACATCCGACAAGTCTCAGATACTTTGCCTCGATGAGCTCACCGGCCATAACCCCACTCTGCAAAGAGTCCAAGGCACAACGAGTCCATGAAAGTTTCCAGTCTTTTGCACAGGAAAGCTCTGATTCAATTTGCAAGACGGTTGACAATCCCGTCAAGGTCAAACACACAAACACACACACATATATATATATATAATATAATATAGTAGAATATAATATAATATAATATAATATATGTGAATATACACACACATGTGCACCGAAATCCATGTTGTCTCCATCGTTTTGCAGTCTTTGAAACAGGTTTGCTGTCCAAACTCGCAGTGTGTTCCTGCAACTTGGAGGGCAAGCTCAAGCATACTATAGCGAATTTCATTGTTGTGTTGAGTGGTGTTTCAGTAGGACACAGACACAGACTTGATCAAGCCTGGAGTTAGCTGGTAGCTTCTCCTTGCCTTTTGAAGCGGTCCTATACCTGGGATGTCAACTTTAAAAAAGGTCACAATTGTTATTAGAGGAAGACATATACACACGTGTCACATTTGCAAACTTGATGAGATCGGGATGAGGATGGGTTTGTATTGGGTTTGGGTTGGAGACCGGAGACCGGCGAGTGTGGTGCGATGTCGAGAATCGCTCCGAGGGGCTGGAGACCTTCAGCGGTTGCAAGGCAGAGCGAGGCCCCGTGCGCTGCGATGCCGCCGAGGCGCTGATCGGGCCGATCCCCCGACTCATCCAACCTTCTAGCTTCTTGTTCCTAGTAAGGCCAGGCGCCCCTAGTAGCGTCCTTGCTCCTGGCGGTCCTAGCGATGCCCTTTGTTACTTCCTTTTTTCTTGTTACTAGTAGAAATGGCAACCTAGGAGCCAGGAGTGGTAACTGAGTAGCAATGTCAGGTCCTTTGCGTGTTCGCTTTTACGAGTTACGTGAGGGCCACTTGTGAAGGGCAAGTCGGTCAAGGTCCTCTTGTTGGTCTGTACCGTCGGCCAACGAAGTCTCAGCCTTCATTTCAACACTTGGCAACACATACTGCTTGTGCAAATGCCTGTGTGAGCTGCTGCCTCATGCAGATGTCATCCGGCTTTCCTCTGAAAAATGGTATTTGCCGCCAGCAACTCAGTATTTTGAGGGCGGCAAAAGCTTTCCCTCCTCCTCTGTCTCCTGAGGTTGCGCTGATGGCTATTCGTGTGAAACTGGAAAATGCTCCTCGGACACAAGGGGCACAAAGCTTCCGGCAAAAAAAAGTAGCTTCTACTTTGTGACTTTGGTAGTCTAACTCGCACTGAAGCGGAGCTTCTCGACCTTCTCAGGCATACAACTGACCCCAGGGGTTCAGCCGCTTCCGCCATTGGATCGGAGCTTGCTAGAGGCGCTAGACCGGACGGAAGAGAGAAGCGGCATCGGTGCGGTCGTGTGTGGCTTGTGAGGTGCACAGATACCGGAAAGCTGCTGCGATGAATTGGGCTCTCTTAACCCTTTGCCGCTCAGACCAAACAAATCCGAATTGAGCTCTTACAAACCTGAAGCGCCAAGCGCTTAGGCTCTCTTCTGTCGCTTGTGATGGTAGCTTGGGTTGCCCGGTCCTGGCCTTAGCCTCAAAAAAGACAGACCCTCTCCTGAAAGTCCTTACAACGAGGATCTTTTGAAGTTCCTCATGATCAAGCTGCTCTGCAGTTCAACTCTGCTTCCTTTTCGGTTTTATGTGTTTCTTGAGGTGTGCAGTTCGACTCTGCTCTCTTGAGGACACTTCGGGAACCAAAACTTCAACTTGAACTCCAAAAACAATCCACTTTAAACAGGAATTATTGTGAACCTATAGTTGTTTTTTTCAACAACATATTGCCATTCAACCTCACTCCCCTCTGACAACGGCATAGGATTTCTTCAACACGTTCCCATTGCTTCTTCGAAAGTCCAAAAGTGGTTCATTCCAGATTGAAGCGTCTCACCAAAAACACAAGTTCTTTGGACTGCCCTTTGGGTGATATTTTTCAACTTGAACTTTAGGCAAAGATGGAGCAAATACAGATTTTGCATCACAAAAAACAACTAACACAACAAACTAAGCCAATATAGTCAGGGTGCGCACTCGGACTCCGCACTGCGAGAATCGAAACTGATTGCCCGTGGCGATGGGAAACGGCACTCGGGGATTGGTTCTCGAAGAGCCAAAACTGCTAGATTCTTGTTACTAGAAGCAAGAATGCTCCTAGTAGTAAGGCCAGGAGCCCCTAGTAGCTTCTTGTTACTAGTTGTTGAAACGACATTGTTTCCCAAAAGATGAGTGCTCTTTAGACGACATGGTGCGTTGTGATAAACTTTGTCAGAGTTGGTCAAGTCGTTCAATTGCTCCAAAAAAACTTCAAAAACAGAAGGAACGAAGGATTGAACCGATGGAGGAACTGGCTTTCCTTCTTGGCAAATTTCATATCTTTCAGCTTCTCAGTTCCTCCTTCTACCAGAAAGGGAAAAGGGTTTTGAAATAAGAGAACAAGAGAAGGAAATAAGCAGGAATGAAAAGGAGAGAACACGCATTTCTTATGTAATTTGAACTTTTTCGATGCCAGGAGGCTCCTCAAGATGAAATGCGAACTGGGCGCTGGATACCTACATATCTCATCTCGCAGCATTTCTTTAGGAACCGAAGACTGTCAACTGAAGACTGATGACAGTGTCAAGGACGCAGTGAAGTTCAAGGCCTTCTGCATGGGCTTGAGGCGAGGTGGGCAGCATGAGGTCTCACGAATTGGACGATTTAGGCCAAAGATAGAGGTGTTAAGACTGCGTTCCCTGCAGGATGGGACCGAAAAGATGGAGTTTTGAAACGAGTGCTTCTGAAGGTTTCACTCAGAGCTTTTACAAAAGAAGCTCGATGAGCTTGATGTTTTCTTTTTTTTTTTGTCTGGTGCTGCTGAGCTTCTTATCTCCAAGTGCAACCACGGCAACCGCAGTAGACAAAGATCTTACTTTATGAACATCTGTTTGAAGTCTATTGGTTGATTCTGCAACGCACACCTTTCTGTAGAAGCTCCAATGTCACAGGGCTAAGAATTATGTAGCAGAAACCATCGCAAAAGGCGATTTGCATTCTGCTGCTTCAAGAGCCGCACTTTGGGAGGAAGTTGAGGTTCTTTTGATGCCAAAGCTGTCCAAGCATTTGATGCCTCGTCAACTTCAATCGCTTCCAGTCCCTGTTTTGAGCCCCGGATGTGAAGCTGGGTTCTGCAAAGGCGTAAAAACTTTCAACAAGCTTTCACATGGACAGACAAGGGATCTTCCGAAGGATTCCTGTGATGAGGAAAACAACAATTGTGGTCCTAGTAGCTGTCCTTACCTCACTCACCGTGTGTTTCGATGGGGTGTTCGTGTTGTTGGTCACTTCACATCGTGACATTGGCTTCCCGGACCATGGAAGATCTTTGAACCTACAACCCAGAGTCCAGCTGAAAGCCACGAACAGGAGGCAAACCTGTCGTGACCTCCATCGTTGAGATTCATTCACTGTCCACTGATTCCACTGCATCTTTGGATCAACAAATTTGCTTTGCTCTTTAGAATCAGGGAGGACCCTGCAAGTGAACAATGCTTGGTGTTTGTTGCACAAGGCTTTCTTTTCTCCAGGTTTCCATCGGTTGACCTTGCTGCACATGCTGCCATTTCGGCACAACACATTCATTTAGTACTGACTACCTGATATAGCTGCCTTCAGGAAGACATCACTTTGAGAAGTACAAATCACATTGTGAGCTCACAAAAGCCACACATAAATCAAATTAGGTTCTTGATGCATAGATGATACCTCCAAACACCGGACTTCCTAGATCGTCCTGCAGCAAAGGTTCCAACTTTTCTTTTGCCGAAGCGATGTGGCTTAAAACCCTGTATTGAGAATAGGGGGTAATGATGTTTTCTGCACACAATTTATCAAGGTAAGTAATGTTTGGAGTCAGCACTGTATCATAGGTTGCAATTGCCCCACTTTTAGATTCGAACGTTGTGACAAGACCCAGTTGGTCATGGGGCAGCAGCAAAGCGGAACAAGCACGATCTCTGAGAAGACTGTGAAGGCCAGAGCCGACAAGAGGAGGGGAGCTACGAACACGTAATGGACGCATATTTTCGTGGCGGCTGGAGGTGGGAAAGACTGGCACGCGTGGGATAAAAGGTTCGCCAAGCGTGCCATGAGTTCGTTTAGGCCTTTGAGCTGCTGAACCTCTACCAGCAACTTGAGGAAGCACTGGCAAAGCCAAGTGCAGTGGTGGATGTCGGAGAGGCATATCGCCAGTCTCCAGGCTGAAGTCGGTAGCCCGGTTTCGGAAGGAAATTGTTTCACAGGCTGAACCTTCCTATTTTCAAGCCGAATCCAAATCTGAACCCTTTTGGCATCGAGGATCCAACCCACCACATCTCGCAACCCGAGGATCCTTGTGTGGTGCCGAGCCCATCCGCAGTGTGCGAGCGTCTTGGAGATCCTGAGCACTGAGGATTCGGTTTTTGATGGGTTTCAGGGCCTTCCAGGGTGTTTGCGGCTTTGTTTGTTGGCTTTTTTTTTGGGAAGTGATTGCTGACAAGGTGAGCAGGTGTAGGATTGGGTAGACGCTGTTTCTTCGGAAGGTTTTAGGTCTTGCGCCCACGAACTATTCATTTTCCCGTCCACTTGCACACCAAGCACGTGTGCGAAACTGTCGAGGAGAGATATCCTGCCTGGCGACGGCGGGAACCTCAGCGGTGAGGATTCCAACCAAAATGGAAACCCATCGCCTTCGCTACTAGGAACAGGTGCCACGCTAGTAGTAACAAGTGCATAGCTACTAGTAACAAGTGCCTTACTAGTAGTAACAATGTTAGCTAACGGCCAACGGCCGTACTTTGTTTTTTTTTTCAGTTTTGCGAACCATACGTCGATACTTTAGACATGCGTTTAATGGCCTTTGGAGGTGGAAAGCTGGCTTCACACTTGTCCTCTCTGGATGATCGTGGGAGTACCAAGGCAGGCACTCGAGGAGGCCTACCGACTCTTCTATGATGAGGCTTGCAAGAGGGGGATGGACCATGAGGAGACCATGGCTTTGACCAAGAGAATTATTCTTGTTACTAGTAGCTTCTTGTTACTAGTAGTAAGGCACTTGTTACTAGAAGCGATGCACTTGTTCCTAGTAGCTTATTGTTAGCTTTTTTTACTTGTTCTATCCTTTTCCTTTGCGCTGGCTCCCACCGCAGCTTGTGGGACATGTTGTGAGATCAATGTCCGTCCTAAACATCACACGTGCTCAATGGAACCGAATAGCAGCATCTTGGCATATCTGGCCATTGCAGTAGACTGGAGGCCACCGCTATTAGGTTCCTTTTGCTGTTAGGTTAGAGGCCATCTTGGCAGGTCATGCAGCACTGTTTCCAAAAGGGACACGTCGTGAGAGTGCTGCCAGGCGGCTCTTTGGGCGGCAGCCGATCTGGAGCGGTTGCCGGAGCCGCCCACTTCGGAGGAGTCTGAAGTTGCATGAAGACCTTAGGAGCAAGGACGCTACTAGGCGCTCCTGGCCATACTACTAGGAACAAGAAACTACTAGGAGCAAAGGGCATCGCTACTAAGATCTTGGTTCGCTCGCAGGTGGAGCCGCGAAGACGAGGCAACTAGATGCCCCAATCCCCCAATACGGTAAAACTGAGCACTTGGTACTTGGTATGCTGAACATACCTTGGATATCCTTGAATATACCTTGCCTTCTTTTGCAAGTAGAGTTGGTTAAGAAGGTAAATGCCAAACGTGTGACCAAACTACAAACAATTGGCTCAAATTCGAGCAGCTGAGCAGCTCCATTTTTTCTTCCTCGGTCTGTTCAAATCGGTTTCGATGCACATGCCAAGCCCACATCGCATTCCGACACGCAGTTTCTCCAGTTGCCGTCGCGCAGTTTCACCCAGACGTGTCGGTCCACGCCACAGGAGATCGGCTTTCGACCATTGCCGGAGACGCTAGTCAATGGCAAGGCGCGGGAGGAACTGGATTGGTCGACAGACCGTTGTCTTTGCTCGCCAAATTGCCGGGAAAGATCGGAGGTTTCTTCTACGCCAAATTGCTCTTGCGTTTCATTGCTTTCAGTGCCAGCAAAGTGGGTGGTGCTCTTTGCATGTACCAATGTACCAACCGTTGCTTAAGATTTGGGTGGCTTATCCTGATGCTGGTGTTCAGCGTGTGTACATGCACTCGGTCCAGTGCCGTGAAGACATTGAAGACATCGACCCATAAAGACTGTTTGGAGACAGAAATAAGATCATTTCGGCCTCCAAAAAGGCAGATCGGGTGGGGCCGTTGGGGCCGTTGGGGCCGTGGAGTGAGTTGTTTGAAAAGAACTCAGCTGAGCAAACAAGTGGCCACCTTTTGTCGAACCAAGCTGAGCCTGGAGATGTGAGGCTGTTGAGCAAAAGACCTATGCAGGACGGATGGGATGGAGAGATCATCAGACAGTGGCAGTGGATCCTTCCAAGCAACAGTCCAAGAATACCAGAGACCACTTCCAAACCGGCCCTGCAGTCAAGGCAAGAAACTCGACATGACATCGCAAGACTACTTCTTCCACCTTTTGGACTTTTGGTATGTCTGACACTCTTTGCTTCAACTTTCTTCTCTAAACAGTGCATGTAAAGCTGTGTGGGTTTCCACTAGGCTGTGACCAAGCACCTTCATTGGGCAAAGCACCGGTTTGGGATCGTTTGCCTCGTTCTGGTGTTTTGAGGATCCTTCACCGACCGCAGTGGCTTCTTCCGACAAACCTGGCACTATGAGATCCACCGCATCTCCTCGAGCGGTGTGTCCGGGCGGCGGATTGTGGCCCTCTCGGAGTCCAGCCGAGCGCTTAGCCAACCGAGCATTTGTGACATGTCTATCGGAATGGCCTCGCTAAGCAAGGATTTTGGAAGGCTCGACCGGCTCGACTAGCTGTGCTTGGCTTCGACGTTTGCGAGTGTTCCTTCGAAAGGCAAGCCTTCTTGTGCAACAATTTCAAACTTGTTTTGCAAAACTGTGGACAATGAGTGTATCACATCGATGTGGCAAGAAATGGCATCTTCTTGCCGGAATGTGTCAGAATGCGAAGATGGTGGAGGAACCACGTCTTTCAGAGATGGACCTGCAGGATCCAACGGATGAGCTGGAAGAGTCCAGGTGTACGTGGAGGGTGTTTGTAGTCTGTAGCAGGGCTCAGGAACGACCTCATCTACCTCTCACAGCGATCTGGAACGTGGCTGTCCGCTGGATCTTCGCAGTATTTCCAGAGGGAGTCGAGCGCTCACCCCGACATAGGACGGTTTTGAGGCTCACTTGGTTCGACTTGGTTTGGAGTGATGGTTGGCTTGCAGTCCAAAGGCAGGTCTTTTGGTTCAAGTTTTGGGCACTGCGATGCCACGACAGTGATTGGAGTGTGAGATTGGCCCAGGGCTCCATCATGGTGGGCAGCTGAGGGCCTTTACGGCGGGTCATGGGCAGCATGTTCTGAGTCGTGGCGGCTTTGTGCATTTTGTTGTCATGTTGCACGGCGCATTGCCTGCTCACCCAACCCCAAACTTGAGGAATCAATATACTGCGGTGTTTCGGGGCAGCCAGCTCCTGATATGAATGGGACTGGGGCTTGGCAGCCTTCTTCTCTGCTTCTCAGCGGAGAAACATGGCGCGATTGAATTGGGAATGGCCCAAAATGGCAGACCGTGCTGGGCCCTGGGAGTGGAATTGCAGTTGTACTGAGAAACAAGCGCTGCTACCACAAGTTGACAGCGAATGTCGAGCGCAGCCACAGTTTGGAGATCTATATATGTGAACAGATAAATGGGGGTGGGTCTCCACGGGCAGCCCGCAGCCCTGGAGATGCCGAGTCCGAACATGGGAGAGTTTCGCGAGATGCGGAGAGTCCGAACATGTGAAACAAATTTGCAAAGTTCCGCCCCGCATTGAATCGTGACGTCGGGTGCCGCCGGTAACTATATGTTTCAGGGACAGCGCAGTGTTGCCGAAGGGTTCGCCCTTTTTCGCGCTTTTGTTTGCCGGGAACGGTGCGGTAATGGCTTGACAGCGTGGGGGATTTCTGGCTGCGCCGGGCGATGGCCGGCAAAGAGGGTGCAGCGATTGGTGCCAGGCACACCTTCGGCCGTCGTGACAGGCTCGTTGGTTTCATCGAAGAAGCCTGTCGTTCCTCTTCAGGGCAAACCTTTCAGGGTGGCCCGTCGTCTTTAAGGGAAGTGGCTGCCCAGCTGGAACGCACGCCTTTGGATTCCCGCAGAACAAGATGAAGAATCAGACGACTTGAGCAAGGGGCTGCTTGATAGATTCGGCTCACGGAAAAGGATTCAGCTTTTCGCGTATTCGGACAGCTTTTAAGACCCAGCGTGCGTTTCTCATCACGGTCTATGCTTGAGACCATTTTGTAGTCACAACCTTGCGCGTTCGGTTTCTGTGAAGCAAAGTCGCCGATCCTGCCGGTTGGTCTTCCTTCAGCACGAAACAGTTTTTGAGACTTAAGTTGAACGAATCTCTATATATATATATATTCTAAAAGATATATCGAGGTTGAAAAGGCTCATACTCCGCTGCTTGCCCAGGATACGTTTGCGCCGGAGATGTGTCAGCGAAGCTGCTCCACACCGTGCTGCCAGATGAGTGTTGCTCTGCGCGGGAGGCAAAGCACGACTCTGGCAAAACTAAGTATACATTATACATTGTGAAAAAACTGTTCTCATTCTCAAACTATTTTTCGCGTGGATATGACTTTTCCTTCGTGTTGCACCACAAACGACGGAGAGCGCAGAGAGTTGAACCCAAACCCCACGCAATCGTACTGAGCGCAGGTCTCGTTCTGACCAACTTTCCAGTTTCCAGATTGAATTCACAGCCGACAGTTTGTCCAACTTGGCCAGGATCCCGCTGCTGCCAAAGGCCCCTTCTTGCTTCCCAAGGGCGTTCGCGGACAAAGGCGATGCAAGAAACCTAAACAGGAGATTGTTTTTGGAAGATGATCTCGACTTTGATTAGTGTGCCCCCCCTCTCCTCCAGGCTGCCGGAAGTGCCCACGCAGGTGAGCTGATGGAGAAATGCGGATCTTGATTTTGGGTTTTGACTTCCTGTTTACCTAGCCTGAAATGCAGCTTTGGCTGTCCAGGAAGATCCACAGCCAATCAAGGCCGAACACTGACTGATGGGTCCGCAATTGGTTTCAGCCGTTTTCAAGATATGAGTTCTGGGGAAGGAACGCGTTTCGGGTGTTTTTCTGAGTGTATTTTGGCTCAGCCAAAGTGCCGCTGACGCCCGTGATTTCGCCAGGAGCCGTTGCACTTCGAGGATCACAGTGTTGCACGGCCCCGTGCGCGGCTGACCTTCCCACAGCCACGAGGCAGGGCGAAGGGCACGTTATTTGGGGCAGATGAACGTCTGTGAGACCTACAGTTCCCACATGTATCCCTTCCAACTCGAAATGCATCCGAAACCAAGCAAGTCTTCTTCAAAAGTCTGGAAAACAACCAGCAGTCCAGCAGTTCACATATATAAACTACTGATTACTGCAGAAAATAGATTTTGTTCTACATACATTGCTGCCTTCATCACCCTCACTACTTCCCTTCCCCAGCATGCTATGCCAGCATGCCATGTGTGATCGGTGCTGACAGGCTGAAGAGGGAGCGATCTCAAACGAAGGCTGTGCGAGCTCAAAAAGAGGTGCTCGGCCTTGTTTGGCGTGTAAATGCCGGCCTCGTTAGGGTTTCTCTTGGCACTAGTGCTGAAACTGGTGAAGATGAGGGGTGATGAGGGGATCTAAAGAGATCTAAAGATTGAGTAATCAGGAGGTA